GGCTGCGGCTGAGCGGCGGCTCGCTCCTGTTGCAGCCTCCCGCGGCAGAGTTTTCTTTGGAAAGTTGCATTTATTTTCTTCCCTTGTCTGGGCTTCACCGGAAAGGAGCAGGATGAGTCACCGCGGCGCGCACTTGGGAGCCGGGAAAGGGGCAGGCGGCCGAGACGCCCAGGGGTCCTCAGGCGTGGGCCACACTGGCGGCAGGGGTGGGGTGGGGAGCGCTCAAGGAGGGAAAGATGACTGACCTCTTTGGGACTTTCCTCTTGGGGCGAGGCTCTGAGTGTTAGCTTAGGGTGTGAGTGTGAATGTGTGTGCACGCGCGTGCCTGCCCCCCAGTGCCCTCTTCTCAGCATGGGGGGCGAGGAGGGGGCTCAGAGCAGCAGGAAGAAGAGAGGCCGAGTTTGCCCCTCGCCTTCCAGGGCTCAGGTAGGACTAGTGATATTTGCTGAGGAGCAAACAGGTGCGATGAGGTGGTACCTGGGCACCCGGTGCAGCTTGCCCCGAAGGGACCTGAAGGGTCAGTCCTCCGCTGACCCCTTCAGGATACACAGCCTGTGAGCCACTCTTGCCCTTGACCTCTGAATCAGCTTCCATCTTCCGGGCAGACACTGCTGACCTGCTCAGCTTTTCCCCCGTCGGCAAAACCACCCCATTGTTGCTTCCTTTTTTACCAGGACCAGAGTTGGGTGTAGAGAAGGGTTTGACAGGGTGGTTGGTGGTGAGGATTGGCCCTTGTCTATTACACAGACCCAAGCTCAGTGGAGAGGGGACTAGGAATAGCCCAATTGCTGTGTTGCTGCCCTGGAGTCCCGGGCAGTCATGGCCAGTGGACCAGGGACCAAGTGACCCTAGGAAGCTCCTGAAAGTGTGGCTTATGGTGAGGCCCTGGGGCTCTTGAAGCAGGGTCTTCTTCAGCGGGACAGCCTGCTGGGGACTCACCTGCCCAAAGCCCAGGAATCAGGCTGGCATGGAAGGGGGTGTGTGGAGAAGAGGGCCTAGAGGTGCAGGCAGGACAATGGCCCCAGGGAGCCCATACGGTTCTCCCAGGGGGTGAGTGGGCTGCGATCTGAAGTCACAGCCACTTTTGTTGCAGGGCTCCCACCCCCTCATTCCTCCCTTATCTCCTCCCCCTGCCTTGGCCTGTCCTGGAGCCAGGACAATGTTCTAAAAGTACTGAGAAAATGGAGCTTGAGTCAGCAGGGTGAGTCTGGAGACAAAAATACAGCTGTGGACTTACAGGCCCCAATTTGGTGGGGTGGAGTGTGTTGGGGGGAAGTTTTCCTGTGTGCTCATGTGGTGTCTGGTGACGCCTCCTGTCTCCCTCCGGCCCCCTCTCATCCCCCCTCCCCTTGTCCTAGAGGTGAGGAAGAGGAGCAGGGGCTAGACAGGGGTCCTGACAGCCCACGAGGTCTTTCTAGGCTACTGGGTGGCAGAGGCGTGGGCCAGGCCTGGAGGAAAAAGGCCGAAGCTGCGGTGGCCTGAGGACTCGGAAAGTGAAGTTGAAGCACTATCATCTGAGCCTGGTCATCTGGTCACACTGTGGCTGAAGCCCAGCCGGTCAGAAAGGCAGGGTTTCTGTCCTGGCTGCTCCATTAGCCTCAGTATCGCTGCTTGTAATGGTAGGACCTACTCTAGCTTTGTTATTTATTAAGTAATGCACACAACTATAAATATTTATGGTTATGTAAATATATGGAATATATAATAGGACTTAACTTTATTCACTCATGTATACGGCACTGGATTGTGCCAGATACATGATAAATGCTCAATGAATGTTAGCAGGCATTCACTGTGTCTTCTGGACCTGCACCCTGGGGCCCCGAGACAGCAGCACCCGGGCCAGCACTCTGTTCTTCGGTTCTGCTCTGAGAAAGAAAAGCCTTTGCTATCGACTCTGTTTCTTTGGGAACAGGGTCTCTTGCTGCTGGGAAGTCAGTAGACCACCAGGCTAGCACCCTGTAGCCCATAGCTGGGATTGAGTTCCTCTTCCTCTTGGCAGAAGTCACCCCACTCCTCGGTGCTTTGACTTCCCCTGTAAAATGAGGACCCTGCCCACTTCGCAGCAGCGCTGTGAGGATTAAAGCCACCGATGTAGGTGAAGCCCAGCTCAGCAGCTGTATGTAAAGAGAGCTTGATAAATGTCAGCTGCTGTGATTTGATGACAAAGGAGACGTCACTGTAGTTCACACTTAGAAACCAGACTTTCTTTGCTGGGGCGATGAGCATATGTAACCACATGGAAACTATGACGGACACATTAGCAGTAAACTTGCAGTCCAGTGCGAAACCTGGACCCCTCCCCTGTCAATCCTGTGTATGACTTGTTTTTGACCAGTCCAGAATCCCCTGCCCTGCCTTTCTCCACTAGAGCGAAGTGGGTACCTTCAGGGGGCGGGGTGAATACACACTCTGAAAGATTCTGTGGAAGTGCCTCCTGTGCCGAAAAGACCCCGCTAGTTTTAGGGACCACATGAAATGAATTTGGGGTTCTTTCCTGTGCGCCCTCCTCAGTTTTTGGGACCCTTCGTACTGCTTTCAGGCTGCCGGAGGAAAACCCCAGAGTGCCTTTCTCCGAACAGTCAGTGGCCCTGTGTGTGAACAGCGAGGGTAGAAGCTGGACCAGTTAGTACCAGGCCCAGTGCCTCGACGCTGATGCCACTTGACTCTCAGCAATAGAGCCGAGTGTAGAGCTTTGTCCAGTGTATTAAAGTGTCCCTTCTTCGGGGCGGGGCTGGTGACAGAGCCGTCACGGGATGGTCTTGATATCTGGCCAGAGTTGCCTATTGAGTCTCCTTTTCTACTACGTGATCTGTGTTTCCTTCTCCCTGGGGAGAAGCCCACAGTGCCACTGATCTTGGATGATTTGTGGGGCTTCTTTGCTTCTAATGTTGGACCCAGGCCTGTCTTACCTGTTGGCCTTGGCTTCCGCATCTATGAAATGGAGATAACGCTCACCTTGCAAGGTGACGAGAGGGTTTAGTGCAACAGGTGTGTTAGTGAAGTGTCTGCACTTTGCTGCACAAAGAGCAGCACAGGCAGCTCAGTGCGTATTCACGTCCTTCCTTCTTTGTGAATTCTGCAGGGTTGGAGACCAGTCCCAGGTCCCAAACCCCCCAGTCTCTGCTACCAGATTCAGGCCAGGCTGAATGCCCAACCAGATGGGCTCCCGAAGCAGCAGCGCGCCAGAGAGCAGGCCCTTCCCCGTGCCCTCTGCTCTCTTCCACCCCTCTTATCGCCAGTGTACTTTGGGCTGGCAAACAGTGCTCCAGCTGGAGCACCCTGCCCACCCCGAGGGACATGACCGTCTAATGTCCCAAATGTCCCACTCCCCGCTGCCACTACTAGATGGCTGATACTCTAGAGCTGCCCTACCTGTCTTGGGCATGCTGGTCAAATAACGGATCACACACCCAAATCCTGGCTCAGATTCCGTACGGCCCTCTCGTGAGCACCCCCTTCTTGGGCTTTGCTTTCTGGGAGCTGGTGTGGTATGGGGCTAGGGGAGGACTGTCAGCTAGAGGCCACGGACCAGGGCCATAGCCAACTTTGAGGGGTGTCAGGTGGGCACCAGGGAGACAGCTGGGATCCCAGGAAGCCCTGCAGGACAGTTGAACGTGAGAGGGACCTGTTAAGGGGGCAGGAGAGGTGTTGGGGGTATGGGTAACTGTAGCACAGCCTAAGTTAGGAGCAAAAACAACCCTAGTGTTGATGAATTCCCCATCTTGGGCTCAGATACTTGATCAAAACCAGTCCCATGATTTTGGATCTTTCCATAGCACCTCACTGGGAAGGGGGCTCATGGGAAGGGTGGACAGAAAGAGAAGTGGATGTGTGTGGAGACCCCAGGCTCCACTGGCTGTTTTGCAGACATTGACCAGTCTTTGCATAGCACCTACCTACTCATCTTTCCAGCCTCAGCAACATAGCCACCGCTTCTGGGAAGCCCCAAAAGAACTGGACATGCTTCGCCCCTTGGGACCCTACTCGGGGTGGGGGGTGTCTTGCCTGTACCTGATTGCATTTTCTCTCTTTTGCTGAAGGGGCTGCAGTCAGTCCTGCAGTCACTTGTTTCTGTGTCCCCACCCCCCACCTTTACTGTGTACTGTGGGTGCATATAATTGGGGCTCAGTGAGCACTAGCTGGCTGGGTGGGTTTTAGTGCACTTTAACATTCCTTTGGGGGAGGTTAGGTTGCAGGCACTGAGGCATGGTTCCTCCAAAGGCCGGCAGACTAGGGCTCTTGAATAAAGATTCTTGGAGCTCCCTCTCACTGTGCTCACCTGAGTGACTGTTTTAGATGCATTTTGACTGGACAGAGCTGGACCCAGAGCCCTCTGCTAACAGGGCTGGCCGCAGGCCCAAGGACTAAAAGGGTCTTGGAGACCGCAGAATTTGAGGTCCTAGAGGGAAGATACTGCCGAGTTGGGGCAGCGCACCCTGGCTGACTCCCAGTGTGGGGCTGTGCTCCTTCGTCTGTGCCCAGGTCCCTCTGAGTCACCCCCTGAGAGGCCTGGCTGCAGGGGGAGGGACAGGGTTGACTGGACATGGATGGGGAGAGCTCTCCTCTCTGGATGACTCAAAAAGTTCAAGTTCACCAGCAAGGAGGAGGTCAGGTTTCACTTTGCTGGGACTGTGGCTAGACGGGGAGGAGGGGAGAGCTTCCCTGGTCTGGAGACTGCCTGGGCCCAACTCCCTCTTCCCCTGTCCTGGACCCAGGGAGAGCTTTCTTGGTACTGCTCTCTTACCTTGAAGGGAAGTGTTTATTGTGCCCACGTAGAGAGAGAATTAGTTACTAATTTCTTCCAGGAAGATCCTGACTCTGGGAGGAGACTAGCGAAGGAGTCTGCCCCCAGATATCTTGGCCACTTGGCACAACGTCAGGGGGTGACTTGGGCAGTATTCAGGCAGGAAAGCCAGGGGGAGGCCAGCTGGGAGCCCCTCTCGTTGGTGTCGTTGGTGGAGGGCTGTGAAAACCCCCACTCCAAACCCAGCCCCGGGACTTGTCAGTGAGCGCTCCTGGCCGCTCACCTGGGGTGAAATCACAGCCCAGCAGTAAAGACGTCATGGAGGTGAGTTCTCATCCTAGGGGAAACCACATCCCAGAGAGGTGGGGCGGCCTGGCCTGTAGTTTTCAGCTACAAAAGTTGCTGAAACTGAACTCACACTTTTCTGGCATTCAGTTCAGAGCACTTTCTAGAATTTTTGAATGGTTTGAATTTTCCATTCAACCCTTTTTACCTATGCAACTTGGGCATGTTGATGAATTTCTCTAAGACTTGGTTTTCCTCCTTGTGAAATCACTATATTAATTACCTTCTTTGTGGGATCATGCCAGCGGCATGAAGGAGGGAGGTCTGTCAAGTACTCAGCACATGCCAGATACCTGCTGACAGTCGGTAGCTGTCAGCCAGTGTGAGGGGACCACCCGCCTCCTGACTGCCGGATAGCCTATTCTCCGAAGCCCTGACACCAGTAGGTCTGTTGTGGTGACCTCTCCTCACCTGTTGGGGCCAGCACCTGGGGCTGGGGCGGCATTTGCATTCTTGGCATTCCTCTTGCTTTGGGGGCTGACCCAGGCGCTGGTGCCAGTGCAGAGGCCTGTGGGTGAGAGGGGAGTGGAAGCCCAGGAGAAAGGCGGAAACGCCTGGCTGCCTGGTCTCTGCTGTGGCTGGGGTCCTGGAGTGGTTCTGACCCCCGCTCCCCTCTTCAGTGGAGTGACGGGGCCTCTCGGGCTGGCCTGACCCTCACCTTGGCCAGGGCAGCCTAAGCTGAGAGGTGTCTTCCCCCAGGTTTCTCTACTGAGGAGGCCTGGATGACTGAAAAAGGGACCATGGGGAATTCTTTGCTTTGCTTTTTAAATATTTATTTATGCATACAGAACTGGGGTACAGACCAGAGGTGCAGGGGCGGTGAGAGGACTCACCCGAGACAGAGCTCAGGGGAGCAGAACAGGCAGATTGATGAAAGTACACTGCTGAGGGGAGCAGCGGGGAGATAGGGGAGGTCAGCTCCCTGGAGGGGGTTGAACTTGCACTGAAACAGCTGAGACTAGCTTCTTCCTGCTGCGCTTTTAACCTGTTGTGCCACTAGGGAGAACCCACCGTGGGGATTTCTACACACTTGCCCTCACTCACGCTTATCTATGGAGGTGGCATCTCTAATCTGTTTCCTTGCCTGACCAGTGGCTGGAAACAGCAATGCTTGGAAGGATGCCTGCGTGCAGTGACCCACAATGTGAGCTGCCGTGATAAAATGCATTTGAGGAAACTGAGGCTGGGGAGATCAGTTAACAAGGTCACGCAGTAACAGCAACACTGCTGTTATCACGCTGCCAAACCCAGATCACCCTGCAGAATCTGGGCTCAGGGATGGCCTGTTGCCCCTGGGCGGGGGGGGGGGGGGGGGGGGGGTCGGTTGAAGAGTGCTCTTGTCTTGCTTTGGAGGGCTCTGGGCCAAGGGACCCAGTGTGATTTGGGTCACTGCTGTTCCCCTGGGCCTGGAGGCGGATGGCATCTGTGACAACTGTCGCAATGGGACTGCCAGGGCCTCTGAGGAGGGTGTCTCAGTTCAGGCTGGCCAAGGTGAGGGTCAGGCCGGCCCCAGTGCCTGTCACTGGA